CATTGACCCCCCCAAGGGACAGTAATGGTAACTAACTGGCTTCAAGAGCAACATTGAACTGTTGAGCTTGCAAGTCCAGCCAGGTTTTACGCATCTTGTAGTCCATCTGTCCCACCAGTTTGTATGGGAGACATTGGAGACTTGCTGAAGTCAAGGCCACTTATATCTTACTGCTTTTTCCTGGTTCAGAGCTAGTCATCTCATCACAGGTTGGTCAGGTATGATTTCCCCTTGCTTGATTCATGTTGACTGTTGTGAATCACTGACTTATCCAAGTGCCTGAAAATGACTTCTAGGATGACTTGTTCCAAAATCTTCCCAGGGAGTGAAGTGAGACTGACTGGCCTGTAGCATCTGAAAGCCTCCTTCTTGCTCTATTTAAAAAAATGCATGGTATTTGTCTTCAGTCACTGGGATCATCCTCCAAATGCCATGGCTATTCAAAGATGATAGAGTGGCCTGAAAATGATGTTAGCTGGTTTTAGATGCATTCCTTCTGGTCCCACTGATTTGGATACATCCAGCTGATTAAGTGGTCCTTAATTTGGCCCTTCTATACTGTGGGTAGCAGTTTCCCCCACAAAATTCTGCTGATAGCCTTGGTCCTTCACATTCCTTACTGGTCCAGTAAGGAATTCCTTACTTCAGCTCCAGTTCAACTTTGTCTTCTCTAGATACATCCTTGTCTGCCCAGGCAATGCTTTGCTATGCCTCCCAGATAGCCTGTCTCAGCTTTCAACTTCATATATTATTTTGCACTTGAGTTACTCAGGAGTTCCCTATTAAGTCAAGCTGGCCACGTAGCTTGTCTGCTCACTCTTTAGCACGCTGGAATAGACTGCTCCTGGGATCTGACAAGGTTGTCCTTGAAGATCGGCCAATTCTTCTGGGCCATTTTGCCTCCCAAGGCAATGCTTCACAGGGTCCCAGCCACCTGTATAAACAGAAATCCATTCTCCTGAAATCCAGGGTCTCTGCTCTTTTCCTGCCTCACTCCTTTAGGGTATTAGACTGCAAGTCATAATCACTGTAGTAAAGGCTACATCTGCCCGAACATCTTCAAGTTCATTAGTTATAAGTAGAAGGTCTAGCAGAGCACCACCCCAGGCTGCCTGTTCAGTGTTTGCACCATAAACTTTCCCAAGAGGAAAGGAAATAAGAAGGAATTGGAAGAATGGAAAACTTGCCACAGGCAGGGCAATGACTTCAAACTTAAGCAAGCTACAGTTAGGGGACTTCAAGCTTGGAAATGCTGAAACAGTATTTGCATCTAGCAGATATTGACAAAAGTATTTCTTCATATGAAGGGAACAGGAGCCAGGCAGAGCAAGTCCTCTTTGACAGGCAGCTATACTGAAAAGGGCTGCAAGTTAAATGGCAACAGAAAAAGTTATTTGGGGCCTAGATTTGTCTTAGTTTGATATGTGGGATCAGTTATTTGTTGTTTCTGACAGACTGCAATGTAAAGCAACAGCTTTGCACAGGCAACCTGCAGGACCAACTGCAATGCGGTTAATTTAAGCATACGCTGCAGCAGCAGTGTAGCCTGTCCCACAAAAAGTGTGAATTGGCCAACCATAAATCATAAAATCATAGAATGGTTCAGGTTGGAATGGACCTTAAAGATCGAGTTCCAGCCCCCCTGCCATGGGTTAGCAGAGCTGTAGAGAAAGAATGGTATTAAACTCCTGTACTTCTATTTATTTTTTTACAGCAAGGTACATCTTTCTAGTGAGTCTTCCCTTTTTTAATTGGCTTGTGTTTTGAATTTTATTTTTAATGGGAGTTATTCTATCTCATGTGAAACACTTTCAAATGTCTTTGAACTTCATGAGGTTTTTTGCTATTCCTCCAGCTTTTTGAGGTTCCTTTGAACAGCAGGTTATCCCCCACTGCATCAATCATGCACCCAGTTACAACTTGCCTCTGAGCTTGCTGAGGGAGCCTTCCATCCTGTTGTTCAGGGCCTCAATGAAAATGCTGGACTGCACCAACCCCAGCATTGACCCCCCCAAGGGACAGTAATGGTAACTAACTGGCTTCAAGAGCAACATTGAACTGTTGAGCTTGCAAGTCCAGCCAGGTTTTACGCATCTTGTAGTCCATCTGTCCCACCAGTTTGTATGGGAGACATTGGAGACTTGCTGAAGTCAAGGCCACTTATATCTTACTGCTTTTTCCTGGTTCAGAGCTAGTCATCTCATCACAGGTTGGTCAGGTATGATTTCCCCTTGCTTGATTCATGTTGACTGTTGTGAATCACTGACTTATCCAAGTGCCTGAAAATGACTTCTAGGATGACTTGTTCCAAAATCTTCCCAGGGAGTGAAGTGAGACTGACTGGCCTGTAGCATCTGAAAGCCTCCTTCTTGCTCTATTTAAAAAAATGCATGGTATTTGTCTTCAGTCACTGGGATCATCCTCCAAATGCCATGGCTATTCAAAGATGATAGAGTGGCCTGAAAATGATGTTAGCTGGTTTTAGATGCATTCCTTCTGGTCCCACTGATTTGGATACATCCAGCTGATTAAGTGGTCCTTAATTTGGCCCTTCTATACTGTGGGTAGCAGTTTCCCCCACAAAATTCTGCTGATAGCCTTGGTCCTTCACATTCCTTACTGGTCCAGTAAGGAATTCCTTACTTCAGCTCCAGTTCAACTTTGTCTTCTCTAGATACATCCTTGTCTGCCCAGGCAATGCTTTGCTATGCCTCCCAGATAGCCTGTCTCAGCTTTCAACTTCATATATTATTTTGCACTTGAGTTACTCAGGAGTTCCCTATTAAGTCAAGCTGGCCACGTAGCTTGTCTGCTCACTCTTTAGCACGCTGGAATAGACTGCTCCTGGGATCTGACAAGGTTGTCCTTGAAGATCGGCCAATTCTTCTGGGCCATTTTGCCTCCCAAGGCAATGCTTCACAGGGTCCCAGCCACCTGTATAAACAGAAATCCATTCTCCTGAAATCCAGGGTCTCTGCTCTTTTCCTGCCTCACTCCTTTAGGGTATTAGACTGCAAGTCATAATCACTGTAGTAAAGGCTACATCTGCCCGAACATCTTCAAGTTCATTAGTTATAAGTAGAAGGTCTAGCAGAGCACCACCCCAGGCTGCCTGTTCAGTGTTTGCACCATAAACTTTCCCAAGCATGTTCTGTAAATCTCCTGGATGGCTTGCATTTCATTATTTTCCACAAGCATTATGTAATTGAAATCTTTAAAATTCCTCATGAGACCTAAGGCCAACATTATGAGGCTTCTTTTGTTCAGAGGAGGTTTTGACTGGTGGTCTGTAGGCGACCTCCACCATGGATACTCCTTTTGGCTTCCTTTCTACTTTTGGTCTGTAAACTCCCAGCCCTCTGCCACTAATCCTGTGGCAAGCCATTATGCCTTGAGCATTCATGCTGAGCACAGGACCTTCTCTTCCCAGCCTGCTTTTCCTAAAGAGCCTATATCTACTGATTATGGGGCTCTGTACAAGCCATCCCGTCTGTTTCATGTCTATCCTGTTACATCTTAGCTCTACAGGTTCACGCAGATCTGACTCATCCTCTGTTTCGTGTGCTGCATAGTCATGTACAGGCACTTCACATGGCATCATTTTTGCAGGAAGAGTGAGAGCTTCCCTTGTGTCAATGTATTATTCCCTCTCTGGTTTCTGGTCTTCATCCACCCATAAACCTAGTTTATGCCTTCCTCACTAAGCTAGCAAACCTGTTGAAGATGCTCTTGTCCCACATCATTAAGTAGATCTCATCTCTCCCCAGCCAGCCTTGCTACCCATAGACCATCTCTTGGTTTTTGAAACTAAAATCTTGCAGGTGTTCAAGGAGAGCAGCACCTGGCCCATGTGCCTTTCCCTCTTGTCCTCAGAGCTATAGAATGCTTCAAAAAGACATTTTGGTGTTCAAGATATTGGGCAATGATGAAATGCACTGTGTCCCTTGGTAAGGTAGTTCAATGTCTAACTTTCCTTTGACTGAAACTAAAGGAAAACTGCACCATGTTTATACTCTGAATACATCTAGCTTCAGCTTCTTCCACTGGATCTCAGGAAAACTTTATCTGCTAAATTAAAGAAATACAGGAGAGACTAATTAAAAACTCAGATCAGACCTTCTGATGCAATGAAACATTGGGTCTAGTCATCCTGAAAATACCAGAATGAACTAGGAGTTACAATGTGAAGATAGGATATAAATCTGTCATGTTTTAGAACCACCTGTTTAGACTTTTAAAAGCAGGCTTCTCTTTAACTGCCTCTTACATGTTTATGTTCATTGGGTGCGTTATGTTTCATGAAGCATACTTAGAGTTCATGTGTAAAATGCTCCTTTGTTTTGTATGCGCAGGGGAAGCTCCTCTGTTTTCTGAATTCCTGATTGGATGTATCACAAAAATATCCGTGAGCTGATAAGCTCTGACCCATTTCTTGTTTTAAAATATAGGCACATATCATACTTGTCAACACTGGTGTTTAAAATTGCATGTAGCTCTAGACAACCCTTGGGTTGTTGAGTGATGTCATTGTGATGTACAGGCTCTCCCTTAGAGACATCACCTTCTGCTTGCTGTGCTCTGTGGTGATATGCATGTTAGAGGTGCCTTTTCTATCTGTCTTAATGTTGTAAACCTGATATCCTTTTCTGCTGCCTATCTTTTCCCATCAGCAAGAAGGAGAAAGAAGCCTGTAACTCCCCCACACATCCACCTCCACCTCCACAAATTCACAACTGGGCTCAGAGCTGTGTGAAGAAAAAACTGACAGGCTGCAGTTCTGAATTTTAAAATCTTCATAAACCTCTCCTGTAATGCCTGTGTAGAAAGGGGTTGTGTGCTAAATATAAACCTTTTCAGACAACCTAAGAAGAGAAACAGTGAGGGAGCTCATGGTTAGGAAAAGAAAAACCTTACAAACTGATACTGTGATGGCAGATTACCAAATGCTTTCTATCAGTTCAACCTGCATTGAATATTAATCTGATTTTGAGTTGGAGTGGTGCTGTAGGTCACTTGGATACTTGGATACAAGTAGCTTTAGAGGACATCTGACACTTCACTTTTGGCAGGGTGAGGACGGAGAAAGACTTTATTTTGGACTGTGTTACAGAACTGGCATCCCAGGGAATCTGCTTTTGGATGAAGTGATGCTCATTCAGATCTGCAGTTCACATGGATGTACGTGGAGCTTGGAATAAGTTGATCACCAGGCAGCCACTTTGAAACCCATTATTTGTTTCTCAGACACATCAGTGGTGACAACTGACTTGCTAACAGGTAATGTTACTTTAGTCCCTCTTTTAGATATAAAAAATTGCTTATTGTTAATTTTGGTCTTAAGATACTAATATTATTCATTCTTAAATACTTAACAATGTGTTTTCCCTTTCAGTTTATCAGCAATTCTTTATGTGTAATACTCCAGCTAATGCTCATTGCCGAAGAGAAGCCTTTTGACAGAACTTTAGAATTTGCATTAAAACAGAATAGGTTTTGAGCTGTTATTCTAGTGGCTTTTCTTGAAAGCTCTAATACATGCCAAAAAATCAAACTTGTAAGCGGTGTACAGAAAAGTTGCTGGTGTTAAGTTAGAGATTTTTTTTTTAATCCAACTAGCAAATCTAGATTTCTCTGTCAGGAAGCCATCTGCATGGTCTCAGATGACAAAGTTTTTTTCTGAAAAGACAGCAAGTGCCTTTTCCCTAGGATTTCTACCATAATGTATTTCTAATCCACATAATAATGATACTATGTATATTTAAGGCACAATTGCTAGTTTAAGACATACTCTTCAAAAAGAAATTCAAATTATGATACAGGAGGTGAGAAATTTGTGAGCTAAAAAAAAAGCTGACAAAAGGTTAGAGTTTATAAAAGAAGAATATTCAGTATAGAAAATATGAGCTCCTAAGGAGCTTTAACTCTTAGAAGATCAGTATTTTTCAGGTTGACAACAAAAAGAATGCACAGACAAATGCACCTTATACTTCCAGTCATCACAGACCTATACTGTGGTGTCAATCAGGAAGGTGACTTCCTGCTGCATCTCATCATGATGAAAACGAGGATGGGCAAGGGGAAAAGAGTACTTCTGCCATGTCACCAAATAGTGTTTCACTGAAATCAGATCAATGCTTTCCTAGTTTTTGAAGGGAGTTATCTTTACAGATGGCAATCATATTCTGCCTGAACTGTGTAATCTGACAGAATAATTATAATAAAGCTTTTTTTGTCCTGGTTGATGGAAAAGATTCATGCTTTGAGAGCTTGGTCCATCCTATGGCATATGGACATATCCTTAAATTAATTGCTGTCTAAATGGATTCTTTGTTTAATCTGCATAAAGAATATTTAAGGCAAAAGCATTATTTTTAATCCAAATTTCTTTGTGAAAGAGCAGATCACTTTATTGAAGTACTTACAGCATCCAGGATTATTTCTTTGCAGAGGGTGTGATGTGATATGTTTTTTCTCTGAACTTCTCCTGAAATTGATGGCCAGAATCAATTGCGAGTAGGTTCTTCTAACTCAGGTTTGAACTACTTCACTCTGAAGATGAATAAGAGAAAAATCATTATTCTGTCAGGTATATTAGCAAGCCAGCTCACAGTATGGATTCATTATGCTTTCTGTACTTTGCAGAATATGAAGTTAAGGTATGGCCATTGTTGAAAGTGTCTTTAGGCTTTGAGCTCCAGCCAATTCAAAACACGGGGTGCATTAAACATGTGGCCCCTGTAAGGCTGTAAAGGATCAGCTAAATATGAAATATGCATCCCGTATTGCTTCCTGTGAATGTGTTTAGTAAATCACAGCAGGGCATGAACCAAGGTTGAAGTAAGTTAGTGGTAGGAGGTAACCTTCTCAGAAGGTGGACGGTAGGAGAAAAGGGGAGTGTGGTAGTGGAGCTGAAGAATTGAAAAACTCTAGTTTATCCTAAACATATCAGAGCTCTGTAGGAAGAATGATGTTGAACTCAGTCAAATTCAACAACAACTTTGAGCTGCAGTCATAGTTCAACATCTCAACTGTGGAGCTCTCCTTCCTCTTGGAAAGGCTTTACTTTCTGTGTCTGAATATCTGGTGCCTGCCCTCAATAGGTAACATGCTTAGAAAATGTAAAGCATGCTGAAGTATGCAGTAACACCAGCAAAAACAAATTCCCTTCTCCATGGCTTTCTGACATATCAGCTGAGCAGATTGAATTGTGCCAGCTTAGAGGGTGTTGTTTCTTCCCACTTGTCCTCTTGAGTCAGTGACAGACAGCCCTGGCCTGGGCTGGCATGTGTGGCTGTAGCAGGGAGGGATGAGCTCTCCCAGGTCTTACTGGGGAGTCCAAGAAAGGAGGTTAGTAAGGCATCTTTTTAGTGTTGTAACAAGTGTTTAGTTGGTGACATTTAAGTTAGCTCCATATGAAAAATTGTGATGATTTAGAAGGTTGTTTCCCTTTCTGGGTGTTATCTTTTTTGCATGTGGATGAAATCTAATTTATCCTGAAAGAAAATTTTGTTCTTGCACAACTCTAGCCATGTAGAAAATACTATTCTTGAATCAGGATGCTACTGGGATTGAATCCTTTCTCATGCTTAGTCTGTTTTTTTTTCTTATCAATGGTTGATAATTGCATACTCCCCTTCTGCAGGTAAGGCAAACAAACACTTAAACTCCGAAGCCGGAACTAACCAGCAATAGTGCAGAGTGCAGGCAACAGGATTAAAAACTGTTGATGAAAGAATATGCATGCAGGATTGAGGTGGGGTAATAGAAGAGCATCTAGTGTTTTCCTCTAGGACTGGAAGCTGGGTATGTCACTGGAGGCCTTGCAAATGAGCAGTTTGTCAGCCAACTGTGTAAAGACTCCCCTTAACCAGGGGTTCATACTGGGACAAATGCTTCCAAGCCACAGGAAAGAGACTGCAGTATTCACTGTGTTTCAGTGAAAACTGCTTGAAGGCCACTGGTCGTAAAGTTTTCTAAGGCAAGCATTTTGTCCATGTCCTCCTATAACAATGCACTCACGGTTACAGTTGTGTGTGTGACTGTAGTATGTGTGATTTCACTACCACTTATCTTCATGATTTTTTTCTATAGCTACCTGATACTGTGCTGAGAGGATGTAAGAGTTATTGCTATGCATTATTCATAGCTTCAGAAGCCTGATTTAAGAACCATGATTCCATGGCTGAGGGGAGACCTCATCACTCTCTACAACTACTTGAAAGGACACTGTAGAGAGGTTGGTGCTGGTCTCTTCTCACAGGTAATTAGTGATAGAACAAGAGGGAACGGCTTCAAGCTCCAACAGGGGAGGTTTAGACCTTACATTAGGAAAAAAAATCTTCACATAAACAGTGGTCAGAGCATGGAATAGGCTGCCCAGGGAGGGGGTTGAGTCACCATCCCTGAATGTGTGTAAGAGTCGTTTAGATGAGGTGTTGGGGGATATGGTGTAGGGGAGAACTTTGTAGAGTAGGGCTGATGGTTGGACTTGATGATCCCAAGGGTCTTTTCCCAACCTAGATGATTCTATGATTATATTAGTAATTGCCCAAATACATACTAATAACCATTACAGTTATTGCAGGAGGTGATTTCTTCACTGCAATGTAATGAAAAGTAAAGCTGCAGGGAATTTTTTTAAAACTAGAAGTGTGACATTTTCATGGTGATACAATAGGTGTTTTTGGAATAAATTCATAGTTGTTCCACAGATAGTGACTTTTTTTTACTGCTGTCAAGCTTGATGTTGTTACAATCTTAAATTTAAATAAAAGTTAAAAGCAAATTAGTAGTGCTGCTGCTGCCATAGTATTTCTGGTTGCATGGGTCTTCCTCAGTGGTCACCTAGATCATAAGCTGTTCTGAATTTGTGCTGCTTTGCTGACTTTTACTGAGGTATCCACAGAGGGCTAGTCTTTTCAGTCTAGTGTTTGTTCTGTTGTTTTGTCTGGATTATAATCTAATTGTTTTCCTAGGAACTGTCCTAGGAGTGAGGACACAAAGATCCACATAGACTTGTTGCAGACCATGTTGGACCAGATGCTTAGAAAAAGAGTGCACAAAAACAGCACCTGTAGGATGTTAATAAACTGTTTTTCTCAAGTTAAACAAGACTAAAAACATATGCTAAAAGAGTTGCAGACTTACATTGGATGAAAACAAGTTGGTCTAAATAATACTTGTTAGAAAAAACCCCATGTGTTACGGTAACATCTCAGCTAGTTAAACCTTAGGGTCACATTATCCTCTCAGAGAAAAAGGTGTCTTGCAGAGTTTTAAAGAACTTAATATCCAGAAGGAAGAACCCTTCAAAGAAAAGATACAAGGAGCCAGTAAGTCTAAACAACAGGTTTGTTGTGATCTTACTGATACCACATTACTTTGCAGACCAGGAACTAAGGCATCTGAGGAGGAGGAAGTAACATATTTTGAGTATATATTTATCTCCACGTTCTCTGCATGTCAGGGTGCTTATATAGAATTTAAGGAGATATGGAACTGGGTAGTGGAAGGCAGTTCACTCTCATTTACTGTATATTTCATGTATGATATATATATAACATGAAACATCACATCTGATCATCAGAACAAAAGAGCTTTTTCTATTCATAAACTGAAAAAGGCAAAGGAATCTGCCTGAGTCTCTTTCAAACTGTCCTTAACTAAAACACAGCAATCTCAACTAGATTTAAGTAGCATTTAGGCAATTAGAGTAGCTCAAGAGGACTGGCCTTGGTAAGGTGCTATGAAACACAGGGGGTTTTGTGTACATTCTACAAGTTAACTTCTGTCTTCATCCCATCTCCCCAAATGCCTAAATTTATGCTCCCAAATGCACACTTGGAAACAGAAATAAATATAAACGGTGTTTTTTTACAGTATTTGCATATGAAAGTCTCATTGATTTAGATGATATTCAGTGTCACTCTGTGCCATTAAACAGAAGCCATCTTTTAGGTATCTGGGTACAGAATTTGAGCTATGCATGTAATTGGTCTAAATCTTTAGTGGTGAAGGAAAAATGTTACTTGAAATGAACAGAAGGTTTAGCAGGAGTACTTAGAAAACTTTGATTTCTTTACTACACAAAGGAAAGTATTTTGAAGACTGCTAATAAATGTGAAAGCTTTGAGAAATCAATACAAGCTGATGAAGAACAGAGCTCTGCTTCACATTTGTGCCCTTAGTGGAAAATAGACATCCTTCGGGCGCAAAGAGACTGTAAAGCTTTTTTCAATGTTTAGCCCTCTTCCACTAAGAGCTACTGGAAATGAAAA